TGTGCACTGCGTGTGGGTTACTGCCTGGTGTTGGTTTGATTCTCTTTACCAGAAAATACTAATGACAATTGATAATTTTGGCCGGTCGGGGCAAAACCTTAGGCAAGTTTCCTTACTCCACACGCCTCTGCTTACCTAGTAGTAAGTAGGAACCGGGTTGTCGGTCAGTTGGCGGATCCCTTTTCCGGGGATACTAATAATCCTTTAAAAAAAATAAGAGTAATTTGGTCAATCTCCAACGTTTGTGGGACGCTGCTGTGCACAATTGGCTGCCGTGTTTCGCCCCCAAAATATACAGTCAATTCACTTTACAGTAAATTCTGTGAAGTGCTTTGAGGATGTATAAATGACCAGATTGGGGTTGAAACAGACTTTCGCGTTAGGGTTAGGGCTGGACAGCTTTTATTTTCCTAATTGTGTGAAAGAACCACTGTGGTACCCTGAACTCTTGGCTCTGGAATAACATCAGGGAAGTTAGTCGGTCAGGGACATGTTATTCGCAGGATGTAGGCTTGGATTGAGGATGAGGTGGGGCTCCACTGCAGTTGGACTTGTTGCTGTGTCCCGGTCAGTGTCAGCCTTGGTGCCAAACAGATACATCAAGAGGAAAGACCTGGGAAGGCAAGTTCCATCCAGCTCTAAGTTATTCTCTTTCTCTCTCTCTTCAGCACTTCAGAAAGTGGAAAAATTTGGCGTTCGCCCTTAGTTCTAAAGGCAGTTTTCTCCAGTTGTTAAAAGTACCACTGGAAACTGGCGTCAAAATGAAGAGTCAATTCACAGATTTTGCCAAGAATTTACTAAGAAAATCATGTATGTCTGGAGCCTGGTGGAATTCCCAACCCCCCCCCCCCCACCCTCCTTCCAGCCCACCTCAAGTGCTTTGTAACGATGGGTGGGGGTGGAACGTTGGGTGCGGGTGGAAGGTGGGGGGGGGGGGGTCACCCGAGGTTACTGTGGTGCTGCTTGGAGCCTTTGCATAGAATGGTTTGGGCCGAGGATTTACCATGTGCGTGCAGTGACTACACGCATACAAATATTATTTTTAATCAAAAAAACTTAAACTCAGTAATAATACTAATCCTTGCATCTGATTCCACGCCTTATCACATCTTCGAGACGTCTCACAGGATATATTGTAAAGTGAATTGACTGTATATTTTGTGGGCAAAAACACGGCAGCCAATTGCACACAGCAGCGTCCCACAAACGGGTGGATTTAATAATTACCGAATCATTTATTTTTTAAAACATTTTTGGAAGGTATTAGTTTACTCCCCGGAAAAGCGATCCGCTAATCGACTAACTACAGGGTTCCTACTTACTGCTAGGTAAACAGGCGTGTGGAGTAAGGAAACTTGCCCAACGTTTGACCTGTCCGGGAATCGAACCCAGGTCCTCTCGCTTGCTAAGCTAACCACTAAGCTACAGGACTCCCATTTGGTGCACTGGGTATCTTATTATTATTAATAGAGAACGCATCAAATTTAACATTTCAGGATGGATATAAAAATCTCCAGCTACAAACATTGCGAATGGGGGGTCCACAATGGAGTGTGTGATTGATAATATAGAGGCCCAGCACTAGGCCCAGATCCTGGGCTCCACAAGAATTTATTCCTGGTACAAAGCTCATTCTGTGAACGCCTATTATTGTTCACAGGCATCAAGGACATTGCCTCGGGCTGGGGACGATGGAAGTGCAGGAGCCAAATTAATCCTGCTCCAATAACTGCAAACCCACTGCTGAGCTGTTTTTATCTCCTGTCCCCCGTCTCTCCCCCCTCCCCTGTTTCTTCTGACGCCACCGTGGTCAACCCTGGAGGCCACATAAGTTCCAGGACTGGATTCCTCGGCCCTTTCTTCCTGAAACACTTCCTCTGGGTCCACATAAGGACATCCTCCAGTTGCCTTTGACAAACTATTATATATATGTTTATATATATATATATATATATATAAAGCTGAAGGCCTCTCTAATCTACTCTCATGCAGTTCCCGCCACCAGATATTCAGGTCAGTTTAGTGCTGTCAGGGGCAAACTGGGTCTGTCAGAAGCTTTTACACCTCAGTGGGTCTATTCGAGTCCTGCCAGGTCCAAAACCGGCCAGGAATTAATGAACACCTCACAGGGCTCACAATGCTCCATTGTTAACCGGTAGCTCTCACGTCCAATAAGCACCAAATAAAATGGGTCGAGAGGAAGGCAAACCAAAGACCAAATTCTAAAGATCTGTCCGTATTCACTCCGAGCTCTTTCAAGGCTCTAAAAGCCATGTGCGATCGTTAAACTGCTGCAACAGGGGGGGCAGTAAATGAATCCAATGCACAAGTTTAAGTGCGCAAGTGGAGTCCTGTAGCTCAGTGGTTAGAGCACTCGCCTCACAAGCGAGAGGACTTGGGTTCAATCCCCGGGCAGCGCGAAACATTGGGCAAGTTTCCTTACTCCGCACACCTCTGTTAGCAGTAAGTAGGAACCCGGTTGTTAGTCGATTGGCGAATTGCTTTTCCGGGGCTAATAATCTCTTCAAAAAAATAATAATAATAATTTGGCCACTTAAATCCACGACTGTTTGTGGGATACATTTGGCTGCCATGTTTCGCCCACAAAATATACAGTCAATTCACTTTACAGTATATTCTGTGAAGCACTTTGAGACGTCTTGAAGACTTGATAAGGCGCTATATCGAATGCAAGTATTATTATTATTAAATGCCCATCTTGTGCAGAAAGTAGTTATTTTGGGTGAAGTTCAGATATACTTAAGTAACATCCATTCAAGTGTAACGGACAGTGTTATTCTGTCTGACTGATTGGTCACTTGACTGAATACCATTTAGAACCTACCTCTACGGAGTGATCCAACATAACTGCAATAACATAATAATAATAATAATTATCCTTAGCGTTTGGAGCCAGGCTGCAATCCGAGACCTGGCCATATGTGGAGAGAGAGAGAGAGTCCAATTAAATCCACTCTCTCTCTCTCTTCCCGCCCCCCCCTCCTGTGATAGTGCCTGTGAATGAAAACATGGGTGGCCATTAATATCTACAAATTAATCGTCCAGGTTTATTTTCCTCACGTGCTTCTTGCAACGTGAACTGTAAAGATAAGCCCTATAAACAGCAACATTAGGTTAGGTGCCGTTTTCCGCTGGCTATGCCCACAAACAGGGACGGACCTCTCCACACATGTTCAGCTGTGCACCTGTGGCTCCCACAGAGACGGGTTTCCGCCAGGCTCCGCCACTGTTAAGCACCCTGAGACGCTATCCTGCATGGAGGGCACTATATAGGCGCAACTTCATTGTTTTTCCGTTTACGTGCCTCTCCATCCTAGTTTCTCATCTCCATTTTGTCTGCTCCTCTCCCAACGACCTTTTGGTCCTTTTAGTGGGTCACGGATCCACGGATACCTTGACCCCCCACCCCCCCCCCCCCACCACCACCCAACACACGCACACATACGCACACAAAGTACCACTCTCACTGAGCGAGGCTGAGAGGCTCGCTTTCTCTCTCTGGCCTCGCCATGGATGCTGAGCTTAATCTGGAACTCTCTCAACCCCCAAAAGGCTGTGGACGCTGGATCCATTCACATCTTCGAGACTGAGGTGGATAGCTATTTGTTAGGTCAGGATATCAAGGGATATGGGGCAAGCTTGGGAAATTGGAGGCAAGGTACCAATCAGCCATGATCTTATAGAATGGCAGAACAGGCTCGAGGGGCTGAATGGCCTCCTGTTTCTATGTTATATTCTCCAGTGTCTCAGTCTCTACTTAGCGCTACCGCGAGTAACAGACGCTGTATGAATTCAGGCTGTTGTTGCTGTTGTAATCTGAGGTGAGACACAGCTGGGACTTTCCAAAGCACTGACTGTCCAGGGCCTTGGGTCATCCTCCCGACATGAAAGGCACTATATAAATGTACTTTTGTTGCTGCTGCTGTTATTGTACGATGTGCTGTGGTGGGGAGGGGGTGGGTGAAGGGTGGCGTCTGCCTTGTGTCTTTAGGAGTTTAAAAAGGGAGGAAGTGATTCACCCGAATTATGTGTGGCTATAATAACGTTGAATTATGCAGCGGGTTGGAATTGTCTTGTAAAAGTGCTGTGTTTAAGCTCTCGGCAATAGCCTCGTTGTAAAACATGGCGATACAGCACAGATGAGAAAACAAAGTGTCGCCCGGCTTTGCTAACGTCATCCACGGCTGCAGTCTCCTCCTGTTAGTGCTCTGGGGGACCCTACCCTGCGTGAGAGGTGCTATATAAATGCAAGTTGTTGTTGCTGTTGCTACAGGATTAGATTTGATGTTAGCGCAGTTATTGAGGAAAAATGCTTTGTTACTGCGGATTATCATAATTGTTTCCATTTGGTGGTGGGGGGCTGGGGTTTACTTTTAAGGTTTATTTTTTCCTCTCTAATCCTCCTCCTCTTATAATAATAATAATAATCCTTGCATTTGATATAGCGCTTTTCACGTCTTCTCGACGTCTCAAAGCGCTTCACAGAATAGACTGTGAAGTAAATTGACTGTATATTTGTGGGCGAACGCGGCAGCCAATTGCGCACAGCAGTGTCCCACAAACAGTCATGGATTGAAAATGACCAATTTATTATTGTTTTGTTTTTTGGAGGGATTATTATTAGGCGTAAGGAAACTTGCCCAAGGTTTTGCCCTGCCTGGAGTTTGAACCAGTTGTCTCGCTTGCAAAGCGAGTGCTCTAACCACTGAGCTACAGGACTCTTGCATCTTGAGTGTGCGCGTAGTTTCGGTGGAGCGAAAGATTATTCCATCCAGGGTAGGATGGTGCAGTCGGAACACCAGTGAAAAGGAGGGGGCGTTACGGATAAATTAGAGACAATTAGTTGTAAAACGCCCCCCTAAGGAGTCATCTTGACCGCGATGCTTTGTCCGATTCCCCCGCCAAGCAGACGAGAGCTTCCACAATCTTCACTGGACAAACGTAACCTGACCATGTCCTTCCCTCTTCCTTTCTTTCAGGATTCGGCTTTGTGACTTTCGAAAACGAAGAAGTTGTTGAAAAAGTCTGTGAAATCCATTTCCACGAGATCAATAACAAAATGGTAAGTGGGCGGGAGACGTGGGGAAAGCGGGGCTTATGCGATGGCGGGCGTGGGGTAGGGTCTGGGGACTGACTGACTGCAGAGGAGGACGGATGGGTAACTGGATGGAGGGTCTGTCTACTCAAATTACTCCCATTTGTTCAGTAAACCACATTATGTGTGAGAGGCTATGGAGCCACAGGCTGTGTCACTGCATTAACATCAGCTGTTGGATATTGGAAGGATCTCCTCAAGGCCATGCTCTGGAGGAGGACTCTATGCCATTGTTGAGACACCATGAAGGGGAGGAGACCTTAGATGTTTGCCCAACACCTGTGTTCTTCTATTCTCTTCCACCGCTTTGTCAGACATCTTTCCAGTTCGGAGGGAGACCATTTGGTCCATCGCGATTGCCTGTTTTTCTAAATGAATCCCACGTTTCCAGCACCTTCCACACATCCCTTAGTATTTCTATTGCTCAGGTCCTTATCCTGATCTCTTTAGAATTTCTCTATTAGATCAGATCAGTTAACCAGCTATGTAGTAAGCTGGGTTTTATCCTTAGATAGAGACGTGGAGTGGTACCCGGGACTCTCTCACTAGGGGATGGAGTGGGGGCGGGGCACGGCCAAGGGACCCAATGAAAGATAACAAACAGTTACTTCAAATTGCGTGGGTGTATTAAGAGAAAACATATACATGGAGGGTTTGGAGTCTCAGTGTGTGGTGTGTATCTGAGGAGATGGCCAACAGTCCCCCGAGATACAAATTGATCATGAATGCTTATGGGGCCATTTGCTGTGCGTTAATTGGCTGACGCTCTCACCTACAAAATACACCATCACTAAAGCGCTTTGAGCGCTTTAAGGCGTTGTATGAGACGCAAGAGTTGTATTAGGAGTTGTTTATTGTACTCTGCCGGTGAGAGCAACAACAACTTGCTTTTATACAGCTATATAAATGAGAGCAGACTTAGCACTCCAAGACACTGCCCCGTGTGAAGAGCGCTATATCAATGCAAGTTGTTGTAAGGGCAAGTAGTGGGAGAGGCTCAGTTCCATCTCCCAGCACTTTCTCTGCCCCGGGAGCCTATCAGTCGGACTAGGTTGTATTTCATGCTGAGTTATTCTGCGCTCAGCTCTCGCCGCTCTTTGTAAGTGTGTCATTGCAGAGGAGAATTTTGTTTTGTTTTATACTTTTTTTTCTAACGCTGATGAGAGCTGGTGTGAGAGGCAGCGAGCGCAGCCCAGTCTGTCTGCCCTAATGAGCTTCACAAGACAGAGTGTGCATTTGCTTCTGGCCCCTAAGCTCATGAATGTGAATCTACTTATAACAGAGAAGGTTAAGAGGAGACTTAATAGAAGTTTTCAAAATTATGAGGGGATTCGGTGGGGCGAACAAACTATTTCCACTGGCGGGAGGGTCGGTAACCCAATTTAAAATAGTTGTTAAAAGAAACAGAGGGGAGGTGAGGAGAAATGTTTTCACACAGCGATTTGTTCGGATCTGGAATGCATTGCCTGGAAGCCGATTCGATAACATCTTTTAAGAGAGAAATAGATAATGATTTGGGGAGGACAAGTTTGCAGGGCTATAGGGAGAGTGCGGGGAAATGGGATTGAATTGGATAGCTCTTTTCAAAGAGCCAGCACAGACACGATGGGCCGAATGGCCTCCTTCTGTGCTGTATAATTCTATGAACTCTATGATTCTACTTACTGGGCTTCAATCAGAAACGTTTGCAGGTGGCAAGTGTTTTTGTTCTGTCTCGTCCCCTCTCTTGCGACATACCTGACCTGTGCATGTTTGATGTCGGGAGGAGGGGGAGGGAGGGAGGGACAGAGGGAGAGTTTCCCAGCCCCATCCAGGAATCTCCTTCCTTCTCCCTTTTGATTCTCATTCTCTTTCCTATAGAGGAACACCGTAGCCCCCTCCCCCTCCCTCAGAGCCCCCCCTCCCCACACAGGCACACACACGTACACACGGACATGCAACCACCTGTGTTTAACACAGTCATCAATTCCATTAGGGGGATGGACATGGCTGGTCAGAGACCTGACACAGCTGTTCTTTGCTTCATTGGAGAGAATTTGCAAAGCTTGTCCAATACCTGCTGACAGTCCAGGCCCCGAGGCCTAACCCCAGCCAGCCTCGGGCCTCTAATGAGTGCCACAGGTAATAAAAACACAACAGGATTTTTTTGGGCATTAGTGGAACGGACGTGGCCACATGTTTTTTTTTACATCAAAAAGAGTCATTTTTATTGCTGTTGTGAAAGTAAAACAGAATGAAAGGGCCGTTAGGAAGTGCCACCGTCTGGTGAGGGGAATGTCCAGGGGGGGGCAGAGAGCCTGACAGGTGCCCTTGACGTTCGGAGGCTTCCCAGGAAGCAGCAGCTTCTTCTGCAGCGAAATCGTTCTCTAACCCGGGAACGCAGCAACAAGCTGATACGATCAGTCCTGAAGCTGTGCTCCACCCCCCACCAACCAATACCATCCTGTATCCCGTAGCCTAGTTGTTAGAGCACTTGCCTCGCAAGCGGGAGGACCCAGGTTCGATTCCTTGGGTGGGACGAAACCTTAGGCAAGTTTCATTACCTGTGGATTGTTGGCCAGCACTTTCCCTTCTCTTTTCGAGTAGTGCCATGAGATCTTTAACGTCCACCCCAAACAGGCGACCTCAGGACATCAGTTTAAAGTCTCATCCGAAACATTGGAATGAATGTCACAGCTTAGACTGATAGTTTAAAGTCCAGACGTGGGGACTTGAACTGACTCAGAGGCGAGAAAAAAAAATTACCCTTGCATTTGATATAGCGCCTTATCACGGCGTCTTCGAGACGTCCTGAAGCGCTTCACAGAATATACTGTAAAGTGAATTGACTGTAGGTTTTTGTGGGCGAAAATGCTACCAACTTCCCCGTATCAGACCAAGCGCAGTTCCTGTTGCCTAGTTATCTGTCAATGTTGAGGTCGTCTCCAGTGGAACGAATGACCCAAGCAAAGGTGGTGGAGTAATGGCTTGTGGGTGTCGGGGAGGGGGGGGGGAAACCTGAATGTGGACATAAACACCAGCGTCGCCTTGGATATTACAATTACCATTTATTCCCAATACATCCATTTCTTTGAAATTGACTAACTGTCATCCCCCATTCCCCCCTCCCCTCTTATGCTGACCTCTTTCCCCCCCGTCACCACTCCCACACACGCTTATTCAGTGCCTTAATGAATGTTTTCCCACCTCAAGCCCATCTCTCATTTTCCAGGTAATGGGAAAACCAATTGCAATGTTATTGCCAATTAAAATATTCCAGGCCCTTTTGTCAAGGTAGCTTAGCACTGAGCCTCGCACTAAGATACACTGTAAAATATATACATGAGGAGAGGACTATAATCACCCTACTTATTCAACGGCTTTCTATCCGGTAATAGAGCTTTTGGGCGGGATAAGATCAAAGCAATCTTGCAGGTTCTGTTCGCAACAATCCAGCCTACGTATTTGGCTTGTAAATCCTGCAGCACAAAGGTAGTGAAGGGAGCCAGTTGCTAACAACATTTAATAGCGCAAATGAAAATCTTTCTCCTGTTCTGTTTGGAACTTTCCATTTGTGACCTTTAAACAGACAGAAAATGGAAATCAAAAGCGCCTGGAGAGGTGAGAGAGAGAGAGAGAGAGAGAGAGAGAAGCATGACGGAAATGAAAAAAACACAAAGAATCTTTCCCCCACCCCCCACACCCCCCCCATGTGTGTGTGGTTTTTTTTGCTTAGGAAAAAGGTTTGAGACAGAGGGCAGGTTTGTTCCCAATCCTTTCTGCACTCAGAAATCAGTTTTGCGGGAATCAATTTTCAGGTGCGAAGGGGCAGGAGAGCAGTAATATTCTGGTGAGGAGATGAGAAAATGTGCTGATGCTGACAATCTGAAATTAGAAAAATACAAACAGCAGCAAAGTATAAAGCAGTGACTGAGGAGAGAGACAGAGAGCGAGGGAGAGAAACGGGTGAAGGAGAGAGAGAGAGTGAGAGGGAAGAAAGGCAGATAATAAAAATCCTTATGTTCGATAGAGTGCCTTTGACATCAGGAGGACGTCACAAAGCGCTTCACAACATGTACTGTGAAATGTAGTGACTGTGTCTGTAGGCGGGCGCGGCAGCTGATTTTCGCACATCAATGTCGCGCCATCAAGAAGTGAATGACCAGTTATATTTGGGTGGGTGGGGGGGGAGGATTATTGGCCAGGGCCCCAGGAGAAACTCCCTTCTCTTTTCGAATAGTGCCACAGGTTCTTTTCACATTCACCTGAACTGGCAGACGGGAACCCCGGTTTAACGACTGTCACTGTGTGCAATTGGCTGCCACGTTTCGCCCACAAAATATACAGACGATTCCCTTTACAGCGCCTTGGAACGTCCTCCCGACCTGAAAGGCGCTCTATAAATGGAATCTTGTTGTTGTTGTTTACAGTATATTCTGTGAAGCGCTTTGAGATGCCCGAAAGATGTGATAAGGTGCTGTATCAAATCCAAGGATTATTATTATTATTATTTATCTCGTAACGTAGCAAAGAAATGCTTTGCACTCCCAAGTGAAGCATTAAGAAGGCAGGGCTCGTGTCACTCAGAGGACAGACACAGCCCTGACCTTCGGGGAACAGCGGCATTGGCAGAATTATTGACTTGATATAGATTTATGGGTCCGAGGAGGAATAACAGTAAGTACATTGATAATGTTACAGGGTCTCTGGAGCATTGCACTGAAAGCTCCTGTGAATTATTGTTTTTTATTTTTGCTGAGCTGAGTTTACCTCCTTTGGATAGTTAAACGCACAATTTTCTGCTCTGAGCATTTGAACGGCACCAGATGCTAATGATAATAATAATAATAATAATAATAATAATCCTTTTGATGTAGTGCCTTTCATAATGGCCGTACACAAATTGGCTGCTCACCTCCAAAATACACGGTGGCCACACTTTACAGTAAATCTTGTGAAACACTTAGGGACGTTTCACAAGAAACGAGAGGAGTTATATCAAACACAAGGAGTATTATTATTATTAGACTCTGTATTTCACAGGCCGCAAGTTACTTTTACGCCTCCCATAAAAGGGGAACGGTTCTAATGTGCATTGCCATCCCTGTAAACAGTCCCATTTTATTGGCAGTCTGCGAGCTTCTGAGTCCTGGTGCTCGCTATTACCAGAGCAACAGAAGAAACAAAATCAGCTCAAGCTCACACTGCGAGGCTGGCCGACAGGGAAACATTGGTATGTCAGTCAGGCTGCGATGGCAAATGCTGCTCCAGGAGGTAAATACCTCCCGTTGTCGGGACTGATGGAGTCGTGAGCAAACAGTTCACGGAGCGTGCCTGGGGGGCAGCGAGCAGTCTGCACAGCGGAGGTCACTGTAGGGGGCCGCGTAGCTCTGCACTCCCCGCGGGGCGGGTTACATCTAGCCTCGGGCTGCTGCCGCTAATGTGCTGGGGGCCATTTATACTCCAGCAAGTGTGTCAGCTTCGGTGCTGCGACACCCTGTGGATTTAGGGCTACTTTGGGGCAAGAGGGTGAGATCCCCTTTGAGAGAGGGTGAGACTCTCTTCTCCCCCACCCCAACCCCCTCCTCCTCCCCCAACCTGGTGTGGAGAGCGACTCTTAGGTTCTTAGACTTTCAACACAAAGACTAAAGAGCACTCGGGACTACAGTGAAATGAACCCGCTTTAGGATGCTACATTTTCCCCCAATGAACTGGAATATTCTTACAGCTTTATATCACTCCCGACGAAGGGGATGTCTTTGATCCTTGCCTCTGATGTGACAAAAAGGTATCGTGTTGCGTGTTTCTGACGGTTCCCTGCCCCACTCCAAGTAACTCGATTGTACACATGACCACAGCTGGGCACGTGAGCTACATCTCAGCACATTCCGGCCCGCAGCTGGTCAGCCAACGCCGATTGAATGAGAAATATGAATTTGCAAATCTATTGATCAAAAGAAACAAAAGTCCAATGGCCTGAGTGATGGGTCACCGAGAGCTCCGATTCATCTGTGAAAAGGGAACATTTAGACGCCGGTAGAGGATTTCCCTGGTGACTCAGTGAGTGGATGCACTGCCTGCTTAGCTGGAGGGTCCCGGGTTCCATTCCTGAGGTTGGTTTGGTTGACTGGTTAATACTATTAATCCTTCCATTTGATACAGCGCTTTATCAGGCCCTCGAGACATCTTAAAGCGCTTCACAGAATATACTGTAAAGTGAATTGACTGTATATTTTTGGGTTGATTGGTTTGGTGGCAGGCTGGTTGGGCATTGCCTGGTTGGTGGCACGTTGGTTTGGTTGGTTGAGTAGGTTTAGGTGACAGTTGGTCTGGTTGGTTGGCAAGTTGGTGGGTGATAGGTTGGTCAGTTGGTTAGTTTAGTCAGTTAGGTTGGTTGGTTAGGTTGAGTGGGTTAGATTTGATGATTGGTTATGATGGTTGCTGGTTAGTTGAGTTAATTGGTTTTGTTTCGATGGTTGGTTGGTCTCAACTGGATGGCGGTCAGGGTCTCCCTTGTGGAAAATTAAACACTCGCCTGGGTTCCTTCTCCTATGCTCCCTGCTGGAAAAGGTGTGTGAATATCTGATAAGGACAAGGTTAGGCTCAGCTATGATTTCTCTTTCCCCCCCCATCCGATGGTCCATCCTCCCAAGTCAATTGGCCTGTTCATCTCACTGTCTACACTTGTGGAGAATAATCATTTGGATGACGCAATAAAGGGCATCTGGTTCCCATTGAATTGAACCCCTGCGGGGAGGCAGGACTGTTAGAATCATAGAATGTTACAGCACAAAAGGAGGCCATTTTGCCCATCGTGCCTGTGCCAGTTCTTTGGAAGAGCTGCCCAATCAGTCCCACTCTCCCACTCTTTCCTTTCTGTTGGGGAAGGAAATTGGATGGAAACCAGTTAGTGCAGTGTGGCCTCACCGGCTCAGCAGGAACTTGCCTCCTTATCCCTGAGACCTCACCACCGACTGCCCTTGGACCACACCTGCTCTTTGCAAAAACAATCTGAAAATGTATTCTCCTCCGCTCGCCTTATTAAACCGTTCCAGCTTTCTGAGCAAGATCTTCACTCTCGTAGCTCCTGCGCTAATTCAGGCTGAACATCGGGATGGATTTCCACAGCTCTATAAATAACGCATCAAGATTGCTTCTTGTAATAAACCATCAAAATCTCACTTAGTGGTTAAGGCAATTGACTTTCGAGCCTCCATTATCGGAACCGTTCTTCAGAAACCAACCAATTTACCTTTGTTTGATGAGTTCCTTTTCCTATGTTTTCTGGTTGCACTCATTCCCGCCACCACAGACAGACGGTCCACCGGACAGAGACAGTGAGCTGACCACGACTGCCAGGCATCTGCCCATGCCAGGCATTCCCGATCTGCCTGGCTCCAACTGGGAGAGTGGGAGGAGACTGTTGGGCACATTGCCATTCCCAATCTTTCGTGCTCCCCACCCACCCCTTCTCCTCCCCAACCTGGATTGCAGACTTCGAGCTGTGAGGCCTGGAAGTGGCCAGCAATGTTGCCGTGTTTGGGAAGCTCCCGCAGACAACACATGTGGAAACCCATCACTGTGCTTAAGAGTATCGAATCCAGACCGACTGTCCCACACATGTTCACCACCTCCACAATTCACTGTGTCTGAAATGTTATGCGCGCTCTCTCCCTGGAGGCGCACACACTATGTCCTTAATTCCGGAAAGTTTTAGGTTTAAGTTGGGGAGAGACAAACGCGGAGTGGGTGGGGGGAGGGGTGCTCCACCGAGGGAGAGGGGACTGGACTGAGAGGGATGGACTGGATTGAAGGGCAGGGGATGGACTGAGATGGGAGGGCCTGGACCAAGGAGGGAGGGGCTGGTTTGAGGAGGAGGGGCTGGACTGAGGCGGGGTGGGGCTGGAGCGAGGAGGGCGGGGCTGGGGGGGGTGGGGGGGCTGGAGATGAAGACCTTGAACGTTCAGGGCGTTGGTTACAGTAATTGTGAAGTGAAGGTCTCTATATATTCTCTTTGCTTCTCTCCCCCCACCAACCCCCACCTCCCCACCCAACAGGTAGAATGTAAGAAAGCACAACCGAAAGAGGTGATGTTCCCACCGGGAACGCGAGGGAGAGCCCGAGGATTACCCTACACCATGGACGCGTTCATGCTGGGAATGGGAATGCTGGGTAAGGCCGTCATCCTCTTCCTCTTTTTAAGAACAATTGTCACGGTTATGGAGACCGGGCAACTACTGCATGTCCAGTTCTCTCACTGTCTCGTCACTTTTGCTCATTCTCTCTCTCTCTCTCTCTCTCTCTCTCATTCACTCGCTCTGTTACTCACTCACTCTTACCCGCATTCCTTTCTCACTCTCTCTATCACGCACTCTCTTGCCATGGTCTCTCTCTCTCGCTCGCTCACTCCCTTACGCTCTCTCTTGTCTTATTGCAAAAAGTATTAAGGGATACGGGGATAAGGCAGGGTCAGGTTATTAGCTGGAGTTAGATTAGAAGATCAGCCACGATTGAATGGCGGGGCAGGCTCGAAGGTCCGAATGGCCTCCTCCTGCTCCTACATGTTATGTTATGTCTTGCTGTCTCTTACTCACTCGTTCACTGACTCTCTCTCTCTCTCTCTGTCTCTCACTCTATCTTTCTCTTGCCTTGCTCTTACTCACTTTCTCTCGCTCCCTCTACTCCTCACCAGATACAAATTGCCCTGACAGTGCGTGGCACCCCTTGCTCCAGTTAACCAAGGACAGGACGGGGTGGGGGAGGGATAGGACACGCATGTGCGGGTGCTTCCCCCGAGCACACAACATATCAGGAGATAATTACTGTGAGATTGATTGTCCGCAGAAAGCAGTGAAGCAAATCAATCAATAGAGGGATGTGGAGAGCGGGAGCCGGGTGTCGGCTAATGGATGTGGTGGGAAGGTCAGCACAGGCGTAATTTGGCTTGATGAAGCATCCACACACTCTGGTACTAATGTGCCGTTGATATTCGAGCCGGGCAATTTCCTCACACAAATCTGGTCTGCGATTCAGTGGAGCAGAGCTGGGCATTACAGCAGCAAATGAAGAGGAAAATTGAAGTAATGTTAAGATTATAAATTTATAGCGTTGTCTCCCTGACCCAGGGAGAGGCGTGTAATAGAGACGAGGACTGGAAGAATTAACAGTGCAGTGTCTGGGGTGCTTCCTTCGCTCTCCTCTCTCTCTCCTCAAGCCCTCTTGTCTGGCCCGACTGAACTCTTGGCTCGAACTGGCTGATGTAACTCTGACTCACTCTCTGACAGATTCTGTTATTCACAGTTAATTTAACCTCTCTCTCTGATGCAACCGCCTCCCCCCCAGTTCTCTCTCTATCAGATGCACCATTACTCTCACCCTTTCCAGTCCTCAGACGTAAACTCATTCTCTGGAACGCTCACTACCTTGCACGCTCACGCTGATATTCCTTCTCACTCACGTTCACTCTCTCCGTGTCTCTCACACTCACAACACGCTATTTCTTGTAAAATAATTATATTCCATGAAATTTGATGTAGCGCCTTTCACCTCAGGACAACGTCTCATAAAGCGCTTCACAGGATTTACTATGAAGTGTAGTGATTATGTATTTCATAGACGAAAGCGGCTGCTAATTTGCGCACAGCATTGTTGCACCAATTCTATGATAGTAATAATAATCCTTACATTTGGTACAGCGCCTTTGGTACCTCGGGAGGACATCTCGTAGGACTTTGAAGGGTTCACTGTAACGTGTAGTGACTGTGTATTTTGTGGGCAAAATCTACCGGATTGTTAGCCGGGACTCACAAATGCAGGTGGGAAATATCACACAGGTTGCTGTAGGTTGGGGTTGGGCCAGAGAGAGAGGAGGGAGGCTTCATTGCCTGGAGTGCTTGATGATGCCGCTGGGAGTCCTGGAATAGGAGAGTGCCCTCAGCATCAACGTCCACCCCTGTCTGGACCAGAGAGATTAGCTGTGAAGAGGACTCGCTCTTTAAACGCTCCCGAGACACCGTCCGATGTGAAGGGTGGTCTATAAATGCAAGTTGTACGTCCGGGGGTAAAAGGACCGGATAATTTTCTCTTTTGAGAACCGTTTCCTTGCAAACGAAATTGTTCTCGAGAGAAAATTTTGTCTCTTGCTCTTTCTCTCTCTCTCTCTCTCTCTCTCTCTCTCTCACCCGCGCTCTCTTTCTCTCTGACTCTCTCTCACTCATCCTCCTGCCCTGCCCTGCGTTTGGTCTCCTGCTTTGCTCTTTTTTTTTAAAAGAAAATTCCACGTGTAGGTGGCGTGTGCACAATTCGCAGTTCGGTTTGGATACTCTCAATCATGGTGATGGGTTTTCGCGTGTGTCAGACACCAAAACAAATAATGACAGACGCAAGTCTGAAGGAGCTTTGGTCTCATCGCGGAGACTTGGGGGAGGGGGAGAGACGAGCCTCTTACCTTTAACAGCATGGATTTTAATTCTTTATCGCAGAGCACTAGGGGTCTGGGTTTGTTGACACCCAACAGACAGCCACTAACCTCTCCTCCCCCCCAACCCCCCCAACGTCATGTGGTGTCATGGTCATTCGTAATTTTAAACCAAAATCATTTGACAAAGAAAACCCAGGCTGAACCCAGTAATCCTCCCATTTGTCCGCGACCTGTCCATCTGCAGACACGATGCCCCTCACTACAAACTGCAATATTTCTGATTCTGTGCCCCCCCCCCCCCAGCCATGTCCAACCAGCCGACATTCAGCTCTGCCGCAACCTCTTTGCTTCTCAGGAACCATCAGTGCGGAATTATTATTATCATCACCGTAAAGTGTAGTGACTGGGCATTTTGTACGCGAACCCAGCAGTCAGTTTGCGCGCAGCAGTTGTCCCACAAACAGCCGTGATATTGCACATCTCACCCACAAGTGAAAATTACACGGCAATGAATTAGCCACCCCCAAAAACACAACCTTCCCCCACCCCCCCCACACCCACCGCACCTCACCACGAACTTTATTTCAACTCTCTTGTGTTCTGAACCGCTAACTGAACAAAACACATTAAACGCATTACAAATAATAATAAACGGAACCTTTAATCTTCCCTTAAACAATGCACAGAAAGCTCCTTAAATCTTTCACTCGTCCAGAATTGCCTGCAGGCATTCATTCAGCTTTCAACTTATCAGTTTCCCTTAACGACAGGATGCATTAGATTGAAGAGAACGACTCTTTTAAACCATTTTTTTATTTCATTGTTTTAATAACTACTTTTGATTCTGCTCTGCTCTTCCGGATGCCCTTTGTTCTCCCGCTGTCCCATTCACCCGCTCTCTGCCCTACAGCTTCCCTGCGCTTCTTTTTCTTTCTCCTTCCCCCTCTCTTTTCCGTTCACTTTCTCTTTCCTGCTCTCTCTCTCTCCCGCACGCGCTCTCACTTTCTTGCTGTCTTGTCACGTACGTTCTCTCTCTTTCATCCTCACACTCTATCGCTCTTGTTCTGATTTTCGGTCTCTGTCTATCTGACGCTCCTGGGCCTGATTTCTGCACCTGTCTATCCCTGTCTGTCCTTTGCCATTCCCATGGGTATTGTCACTAAATCTACGTTAACACTTTTAGTGGTGATCAGTTGGCCTCTGCTGCACACACTTCTTTATCTCGTCAGAGCACTAAATTCATTTCTTTAGACACTGCATCAGAGGGCTACGTCGGGCTAATAACCAATTTCTTTTATTGACCCGAGTTGTCTAAATGACTTGCTAAACCGCAGGAAGCAGACACCAACGGGCAGTCAGAGGGATTTCTGCCGTGATAAAGCAATGCAAGATTAAAATTGGATTGTCCGTATAATTATTTGGATTGTCATTCCCCAGTAAAGTTTGCAGTGACACGTACTTCTTATAAATCTCCAGCCTCGTAAACATCAGCCCACCAACTGCTAATCCAGTCCGGCACCTCAGCTCACAGCTACCTGAGTTGATGAACTGGTGGGTTGGAAGCTCTGAGTCGCACAAGCAAGCATTGATAGCTCTGTTCACTGTCGCTTTAGGTGATGGTTGAGGTGGTAAAATATACATAGCACCTCTCGACTGGGGATGGTTTTCCCTGCTTCTGTTTAATATCCATTGAACTTCGTCCCCCCACCCCCCTCTCTCTCTCTCTCTCTCCCACCCTTGCTCTTGCTCCATCCCACCACCTCCTACCGTGCTCCCTGGGTCACTGTGACCTGTCTTGGCCGACAATTCCCTCGAATTAAATTGTTTGTGGACTTCATGGCTGTTTGCAGGATGTTGCTGTGAGAGTGCATATTGACTCCCACGTTTGCCTACAAAATACGACAGCTTGCATTTATATAGCACCTTCATGCGGGGGGTGGGGGGAGGGGGGGGTGTCATGGAGCGCTGAACAGTAGAGTAGTTTGATGAGGAAAGTCTTTTAAGTGCAATCTGATGATGGGCAAAAAGGTGTCAAAATACACAGTCACTACACTTCACAGTAAAATCCTGTGAAATAGTTTGAGACGGCATGATTAGGCCTTATATCAAATGCAAGGATTATTATGATGATGATGAATGATGGTCTTGCGGGAAGCATATTGGAGAGAGAGTAATAATAATAATACTTGCATTTGATATAGCACCTTATCAAGTCTTTAAGGCGTCTCAAAGCGCTTCACAGGATACACTGTAAAGTGAATTGACTATATTTTGTGGGCAAAACTGATGTCACCCCTGCTGTCTCCTCATCTTGGTGGCCTAGCAGACCCCTCGTCTTGCCGTCCGCCAGCAAATATGTCTGCTGGGATACGGGGATGGAAGTTACTATCCTCGAGCAGTTGTTCTGCTGAAACAGGTTCTCCGCCGAGATTGTGAGATTTCACTGGGCGACGTTGAGTCAACACCCAACATGGGGCCATTTGTCACTGAGCGAGAGCTTGTCGTTCGTCAGCCAGGCACAGCTGGGAAGCTCGTGTGTAGCTGCTGTAACGGATGGGCCCGTCAGCGCAGCACGGCGCGGCTTAACTTAAACCTCAGGAACTCCGACTTCCCCGTCGCTGAATCAGCCAGGCAGACGGGGACGGTCGCTGGTTCAGTCCGTGTTGGGTGGAGGAGGGATCGTACTGGCTTTCAACACCCCCTCCCTCCCCCCCGAGAAGTGTGTGTGGGGGGAGATCAGCCCAGTCCCTTACAGCTATCGACTGTAAAAAAGGACCGGGTGTCAGGTACCCCCAGCGCGCTCTCATCCGTCAGGGCTCACGTCAGCAAAATGGCCACCGAGCCAGGTAACAGAGGGAGTCTGGCCCCGGGAGAGCACCTCTGGGAGGGGAGCGGGAAAGCATGTCCGTCATGAAACCCAGGGCCTTGCGGGAGGGAGGGGGGAGTCCATACCGGCCGCTCCAACCTGCCTTGACTTTCGGACCATCCCTTGCATATTAAGTACACAGTCACTACACTTCACATTATGTTCTGTGAAGCGCTTTGAGACGTCTCAACGATGTGATAAGGCGTTATTTCAAATGCACATATTATTATATTGTTATTGCTGCATTTTTTTTGTCGAGCACGTTTTGTTACTTTTCTATCTTGGTTTCCAATGCGGCAGCTAACTCCGCTGTAGTGACTGTTCATTTTGTAGGCGGACGCAGTTTTAAACTTTGGATTCTGCATCAAGGCCTTATAGACTGGTCCTGGCTATCAGCTTCTTTGGGAGGTTTTTTTTTGGCCACAAAAAAGACACCTTGCGCATAGTTGGGCCGTGGTCCATCCCATCCCTCTCTCCTCTCCCTCCCTCTCTTTCCCTTCCCCTACCCTTCCCATCGCCTCCCTCCCTCCGCCTCCCCTCCTTCTCCCTCCCCCTCCGCCCCTCCCCATAGCCGTGCCCTAACAGATGCCTCCGCAAGTGTCCCGACGCTCTCTCAAAGCAAAGGCAGGATAAGTGGCATCGAAGGCCAGGGGAGCTGAGACACAAAGAGGGGAAGGGGAAGAGAGGGACTGAGATAAATGTAACCGTTTTTTGGAAACATTAAAAATGAATAACCCAATAAATTAGCGCTGAATTATTAATCAGCAGCACTGAACGCCCGGGAGGAGGGCGCAGTCAAGCCTGCGTGGCCTTTCTTTTATCTCCGTCACATTGGGATTTTAACCTTCCGAGCACCGGCAGTCTCCTGGGGCGCCCCGCGGAGAAGCCGTCGGGATTCAGTGAGCGCTTTGAGTCTCGCTCGCGGGGGCGAAGGAGGCTCGGCGTTTATTTTTAAGGCCATTTTCGTTCGGCATTGACTGAGGTGCCGGATGCGTCTTACCCCCCTCCGTCGCAATTGATTTTGCGCGCGTTGCCATCTCCCCTGGGACATGACAATCGCTCACACTCCGCGGGTCTCCTTTCCAGCGCGAGCTCAGATGTACATCATTAGCATTTCTCGCCTCAGCGTCTGTAATGATAATCCCTGCTCCAGAGTCTTATCGCATCCAAACATCTCGAAGTGCTTCACAGGGCTCGACTGTACAGCGCAGTGACTTGATTCTATAATTGAATTTGCGTGCATGGACAACGCCTCACAAACAGCCACGAATTGAGCGACTAAATTTCATCTGGTGGGTGGGGCGGGGGTGGGGGGCGGCATTTTGGACCGGGACACCGACCCGGTAGAAAATCCCTTCTCATTTTGAGTCATGCCGTAGGATCTTTTAACGTCCACCTGAAAAGCAGACGGGGTCGGATGAAACGATTAGGGAGGCGACTAGTGAAATGGAACACGTTGCTGTAGTTTTTTTTGTTGAAAATCCCATTCAGGCAACAATACACACACACACGGCGCCGTTCGCATCGGGAGGATGTCTCAAAGTGACTGGCAGCTCGAAAAAGGGGGTTGTGGGGGTGCGGAGGGGAGAGGGTGCTCAAAAGTGCAGTTGAACAGGTAGGTCTTAAGGCAGGGGCGGATTTTGTTGGTGAGGAGGGAGACGGAAGGTGGAAGGACTCCACCGAGATTAGGGTGGATTAGGTGAGGGACATGAAACAGGCCGGTGTTTCTCGAGCGGAGGTAGCAGTTGGAGCCAAGGAAGTAAGGTAGCAGCGAGAATCTTGAATTCAATCTACTTGTGGGGGGTGGTGGGGAAGCAGTGGAGCTGAACGAGGATTAGGGTGATGGGGTCTTACAGAGTCTGGTGCAGGAGAGGACAGACAGGGCTGCAAGTCTTCGTTTCCCAATCGTATCCAAAGATCCACACACACTTACACACACCCACACTTACACACACCCACACTTGTACATACGCACTTACACACACTTATACACACATTTATACACATGCGCACACACTTAAGTACACACGCATGTATACACTTACACACATACTCACTTACCCACACACACTTACACACACACACCTACACTCACACACACTTACATACACAGGCAGACCCACACACACACACACACTTACACACACAGACACTTACACACACACCCCTCACTCACAGCCTCTCGTACTAACTTCCGCTCTTCCTTTTCCAAATATATTTTCAAGGTTACCCGAACTTTGTTGCAACATACGGTCGTGGCTACCCAGGATTCGCGCCGAGCTACAGCTATCAGTTCCCAGGTACGTCCCGCCTCGCTCGTCCACCAACTCTCTTTCTCTCGCGTGAAGTTACACATCAGAACCGCGCTCGCCAGGCGCTTCCTCCCACGGTGTCCGGTTGCAATGTTAGAAACGTGACGGCGTTGTGTCTCACTCCTGCGGTTGCTGTCGGACTGTGATGGTGGGAGTCGGGTGGGGTGGGGGGGTGGGGGGTTGTGTTGCATGTGTAGGTTTTCAGCTCTCGACAGACGTTTTAATCGGGCAGCCACGGTCGATGCTGGTTACGTGCGATCAGTCGTTTGCCATGGAGGGGGGCGGAGTTTTAGCGTTGGTTTTCCCCCTGGGTTTGGCAAAGTTCTAGGCTGCAATCCTTGTCTCACTGTTTTTCCCCGCCCCCCGCACCCACTCCCCCCCCCCCCCCCCCCTCCCAAACCTCTCCCTTAGACTATCCCAGTGCCATGCAATTACCCCTGGATCCGAGTGTGGGATCAACGCTTTATGTTTCAAGCTTCTACCAGAGCTGCTATGTTTCCCCTCTCCTCCCCCCACCCCACCCCCCTCGGGTGCTCAACCCACCCACCCCTAAATCCTAGATGCTCCCAGCTGCATTGTGTGACCCCAGGTACAATCAAAGTACCACCCTCCCTACGACAATCTGCGGGGTTTCGGTGCTAACTCGTCCTGGCAGCTGAGCCGGGATAACCTTCCCGATCCAAACCTGTATCCCATTTTAGTTCCCGGGGGATTCCGAACCCCTTCCAATGTGTGGGACGCGAATGCTAGTGTTCCGCTCGTATCCATTGCTGTGCAACAATCTCCACACAAGACACAGACAATCCACAGCCACTCTCACTTTCAGACAAGCCCACATTTAGACTGTTGGTCAGCCTAGCCAAGCCTGCGTGTGTGTGGTTAGTGTGTTTCGGATAAGTGTGTTTTAGTCCGTTTAGAGTGGATTGCTGAGGGACTGAATAAAGCGTGTGCTAGCGTAGAGGGTATTTCCTCCCCCCACCCGCCCCCAGTCCAGCTCTTTCTATCTGAGTTTTGTAGATATCCTGTTGCGAGCAGCACAATTCTTGGCAAACAGCGGAGATGCATTTTATTGGGATTTGGCGACTGGTCTGTTTTGTAATGTGCATTAACAAGATTGAACTGCATAGCGCAGATAAGCAGTCAAAGCAGAGAGACGCCTGACCCAGAAATAAACAAGCATTTTACTCCTCCCGTCCACATTCATCCAATACATAGTCCTTCTGGCTGTCATGAGATATTTCAATGGATGGGGGAAGGTGGGTGGATGTTGTTGATTACTATATTGGAGTGAGGGGGTGGGGAGGGAAGTCTGGTTATTTTCTCACGATATCGCCTGGCATTTCGAAGAGTTTTGGAAACAGTATCACGTTCGCTGAACCGAGTCCCTGATGCCCACACGGGAATATCCCACTCAGGTCAGTGAGGAGGCTGTTTGCAGATCAGGTCAGCAGTCACATTAAAAAGTCAGCTAAATTCACGCAAGAAAGACAATTCCGCTTCGATTTCCCCCTCTCGCGTTCACAACACCATCCTCATCACTTGACTGGTTACATTAGGTACAAGATGTGGCTGTTATCCGGTCCATCCCTCAACGCTTTGTGCGTCGGCGGGGAGCGTACAGAGTAAATCCGTGAGACAATCGCAAAGAACCCAGACCCTATTTTAGCTGTCTGCCAGGGAATACTGGACCTGAGTTGCTGTGTGTGTGTTATACTGTGATCCACACATTCCGCGTTGTGATGGAGGAGGAGGAGTGGGCGGGGAGGAAGCTTCTGTACACACAACCGAAGGAGATACGTCAAGCTAACGTAACGTGTGCCTAACTCCCTACGTGGTTTTTATTTCAAAACATTGCTGTAAATTAAGAATTTAGATACAAATACGCTGCTGCTCATTTCTATGAGCAGAAATGCTTAAAGGTTTGAGTTTGGGAGTTGTAACACGCGTGGTGCTACCCCAGTACTGATGTGTATACACAGCGACTTCCTTATCAGTCTTATAACTTAGCTACAGGTCTCCTGTGGACCTGTGGATAATGGAGGTGCAGTTCACTTCCTGCGCGGGCGACCTTGACTTCCTGTACGGGCTGTCTTGACTTCCTGTGCTGGCGGCCCGGCTTCCTGTGCAGGTTGTCTGACTTCCTGTGCTGGCGGCCTGGCTTCCTGTGCAGGTTGTCTGACTTCCTGTGCTGGCGGCCTGGCTTCCTGTGCAGGTTGTCTGACTTCCTGTGCTGGCGGCCTGGCTTCCTGTGCAGGTTGTCTGACTTCCTGTGCTGGCGGCCTGGCTTCCTGTGCAGGTTGTCTGACTTCCTGTGCTGGCGGCCTGGCTTCCTGTGCAGGTTGTCTGACTTCCTGTGCTGGCGGCCTGGCTTCCTGTGCGGGTGCATTTGCCGCAAAATTTAAGATTGCGCAGAATTGTGGACATCTTCTTAAACTCGTTAATTCTTAAGAACGAAGTAAAATTGAAGTTTTTGTTTAAATGAGCGACTACTGATGCAGTTAACGTGTAATAATCTGGAACCTGGTGCAACGACTTTCATGTTAAGGGGTGGGGGAACGATTCAAAGCGCTTCAACAGGATCTCACTGTAAAGTGTAGTGACCGTGTGTTTTGTACTCTTAACACTAACTCATATTATGAGGGAGGAGGAAATGCCTTTAATTATAGCAACTGGTCACTCACTCCATGACTGGTTGTCTGGGACATTGCGCAAATTGGCTGCTGTATTTGTCCACAAAATACACTTCACAGCATATCTTTGCGAAGCACTCTTGAGATGTCTCGACGACATGATAAGGCATTGGCCGTATCAATGCAAAGCTTATTAAATCAACCACACAAAATAGAACGGGATTTCGCAAATTTTCCACAACTCTGGGAGATCGTTAATGTTAACGCAAAATAGTCCCGCAGCCTAAAACCAGGTGGAATATTTGGAGGTTTTAGATGAAATCACACAGGCAGGCGAGTTAGCGTGGGTCTATATTCCGTGTGTATGTCTCCCTCCTTCCCTCTCCGCTCTCCCTCCATCACTGTCGGCAGATTAGTTCAGTGCTGTACAAGCAAACTTGTCTCATTCCTAGATTTTTTTTAAAAAAAAGTAAAACCTCACTTGCCTTCCTGTTTCATTGATGATTTTTTTTGCTCTTTTAATTATTGATTGATTTTATTTATTGCAATTTCTTTTTCTCTCTTTTTTTTCCGTGGGGTGGGGGGGAAGGGGGACGATCACTCCATTAATTTATTTTCTTATTTCACTTTTCAGACTGTGTCCAGATTTCACAAGACATTATTTTTATCAACTAATTTTTTTTAAAAAAAAACAAGAATTGCCTAGCAAATTAGCACGGTTTTTACTGCAGTGTTAATGAGATCCTGGGTGTTTTGGCTGTGAATGATGTTACCCTATGCTGTAATAATCACTAATGATACTGCCTGGGTTGATTTACCTTTTTTTTATATATATATAAAAAAATCCTTTTAACACATTCCACCATCAGCTGTCTGCCATTTTGCTTCTGCTGCAGCCTATTCGCTCTCTTCCTCTGCTTGTCACTGCATCACAGAAAGGTTAATTGTTTCCAAACTGTTGTCTCTGTCCCAGGAGTATTGACGATGGCCCTGTAAACAGATTTGGGCAGGAGAGAGCTGGCAAGCTCTTGTCTCTCGCCAAGATTTCACCCCTTTTTGTTTCAAATTTAAATGTTTTTAAAATGTGTACTCATTTTATTTTTTTTTAAACGCCTCCGAAGTAAGCATAGCAGCCAAGGGTTGAAGATGTCGCCTGTAAACTTTGGAGAGTCTTTAGATAGTAAACGAGAGGACTTTCCTTACCCCCACCCACCTGCCCATAGCATAGCACTACCTCGTGAGATAATGAACCACATGGATTCAGGAGGACCTGGGACCTTGCCCCTGTCTGTGCTCAGTTGGCGGCAACACTGGATGCTACAATTGGTCTCAGTCTTGGAGTAAAAAAGGGGAAACCAGTCAGGGTTCCCGTTACTGCTCCGCGGTACACAACAGTGAGGACAGGAACAATGAGGCTGTGATTAACCTCTAATCTCCCCCCCCCCCCCCCCCCCCCACTTCGCCTGGTGAAGTAGCCTGCCTATAACTGGCACGTCAAACATAGCATGTCACCTGGAAAGTGAGTTACCAGCATCAGGAGAGAAAGGGAGGGAGAAAGCTTGAGTTCGGGGTGGGGGGAGGAATTAAAACATTTTACGAGACACAACGTTAAAAAAGTTGTGAGAGCTTTTGACCCATTGAGAAGCGATTATTCCCTAATCTTCAGTTTATTTTGTGTAGAAAACTACCAAACGATGTGTGTGTGTTGGAGAGGTGGTGGGGGAGTTTGGGGTGAGGGGAAAGAGAGGAGAAGGTTTGACCTCAGTGTTAGGAGATTATGTCTATTTAAAGAGAAGTCTTCCTTTTCGTGGCTTACTTGGGCTCTTAAGTTCTAGCCAACAAAAAAGAAGTGTACTCCATACCTCTAGCCTTGCACCAAGTTGTGTAACACCATCCAACAAGACACAAGGTATCTGCAAGGGAGGACACTTAGCATTGCTTCATGGCCCTGAGCAACCTAGTGATACTTTAGCAGCGGGACATACTTTATTTATATATATAAATATATATAAAACGAGAACAAGCAATTAGAAAATGGGGCTGAACCCATCCTTTCCGTTTCTAAGCGAGGCTGAGTATTACCAAGTAGCCAAACTTGCCGCCTCGCCTCTTAACACTAGATAGCTTTCTGGGCTTTACTGCTCCAAAGAGCCCTCTCTCGGCCCCCCTTCCCCCCGCAGAAGCCCGAATCATAGGCAACACTACCCGAGTCAGACAGAACTGTATTTTTTTTTAAAAAAAGCCAGTCTATATATAAGCCAGCTAAAGGGGAGGGGGGGAAATTAAGCTATTTTTTAAACATTTATTTTGAAGGTCATTTTTTTTTGTTGGTACTGTAGTTGAAGAAGTCAAGTGAGC